AGTAGCGTACTCAGATGAGAAAATATGGAACACACAATCATAATATCAAGTGGCTAATGTAAATTTACAGCATTCAGTATTAAATTCGGAAACACAGTGACTTAAAACGGGCCATTTTCTCATTCGATTTGAAATGTAGTAAGCCTTATGGCAGGTATTAAAATCATAGAGGATATATTTTCCCTCCTCAGTCGATTAATTAAAATGAATAAGACCTCAAAAAATAATGATAATAAAAAGATAGCATCAAAAAAAGAAAACAAAAAAAAAAGAAAAAATGGATTTTTCACTCTTCCTTTTCGAAACGTCGTTCGAATAGCATCACAATTCATTCACATATTGGAAGAATTCAAACTAGGAAATGTAGTAAACATTATTACAAATCGAGTGGCTGGTATAAATGGCTAGCACTTAGCACTGAAATGCGGCGATTCAGCTTAGGAAATTGCCTCATTCGAAGTTACAACAAACGTTTTTAATAACATAGAGGATAAATTTGATCTCCATAGTCGATTAACCTCCAGAAATAAGAAATAGGAAAAGGAAGACCGTTCATTTTTCAGTATCTTCCAACCTAGTTCTTCTACCAGACTAAAACAATCGCTATTACGCTAGAGATATTCATCGAGATAAACGATTCTTTTGCTAGGTCTGTTAATCAATGTCCAGTTTTTATATCTCCGGTTACCCTTTATTGAATTTGTGTTGCTTAACTTACCGGCGAAACTCCTCACGTAAAACATCAGGTCATTTTTCTCCTTTTAAATCATTCATTTTTTCTTGGAACTTCTGTAGATCAACACCACGGGGAATGGTGCCATACACCCGATAAGCAGCCTCTTCGTATTTCTTCTTATAAGACTGCATTTCCTTGTCTTTTTGATCGTAATATTCCAGCATTTCTTTAGTCAGACGAAGACCTGCCGATGTACCAGTTACCTCTTCGGGGTTCACCCGCACCTCTGTTGATTTTTTGTTCTCCCCTGGTACGGTCGACTCATTCAGTGATGTGTCTTGATCATTCTTCGAGGGCGAGCTTTCCATCGCTGTAGATGGAGAAGGTAGCTATACTAGGAAGCTGCAACGGAGATCACCTGAGCTATGCAGGAGTTACTTTCGAGAATAAGTGTGAAGTCTCAGATAGAGTCTACCAAAGCTTTCAAAGCTTTTACTAAGCATTAGTCGCCAGACAGGAAATTAACTTCAGTTCATTTGTCCCTCTGGTATAGCTACTTAAATGAACGCCTTTCAATCAACAGTTTTGTCAGATTAACTCGTTAATTGTTTTTTTAACACATTCTCCTCCAAAGTGGCACCGCTAGTGTTACGCAACAATGTGAAGGAGATATTGCACAATCGCAACTGTCAGTTATGTGCTGCGGCTAGTTCTTATCACTGCCTTCCGTTTTCGTTAAAATCCCCGAAAGCGCAAATTCTAAGACCGCTCCAAAACTTTAAAGATACCGGATATCTCACTGTCGCTCAGTAGTTTTTTACCGCCCCTTTCATCATTCATCTCATTCTCATCTACTATTTGCCATATAATTCTTACAATGTGAGTTTGGAGAATGGAGTTTGTAAAAATCTCCTTATTCATTGATATATTTCTTTATTCTCATCACTTGTC